CTATAATTGGGTTACATCTCAATAAATCCATCTTAGTTGAAAATATTGTAAGTCAAAAATGCATTTAATACACCTACCAAACATCATAACTTAACCTAGCTGGTTTCTATTGATGGAGTATTACTTTTGCTCCATTGTAAAGTCAAAAAATCTTAAGTTGAATCAGCTTAAATGGGGGACTGACTCTAATTGAAAATGGCAAGATAATAAATTGCTATGTATTTTTACCACTATTTTAAAAAACTGATAGTTATGAGGAAGACAGTGACATAACATAGTACAAATATTAACAAATGTGGAGTGAATGAGAAGAGTAGAATAAGTATGCCCAGTCGGTGTGGCTCAGTGGTTGAGTGTCTTCGCATGAACCAAGAGGTTACGGTTAGACTCCCAGTCGTGGCACATGCCTGGGTTTTGGGCTCGATCCCCAGGAGTGGACAGGCAGGAGGCAGCTGATTGATGATGTTTCTTTCTCATCATTGATGTTTCTATAAATTCCTCTCCCTTCCTCTCTAAGAATCAATAGAAATGTATTTAAAAAAATTTTTTTAAGTTGAATAAGTACAATGATTGCCTTATAAATTCTGGCTGGAAGTAAGAGAAAACTACTTCAAATCTGACACTGGAAAAAGATAAAGGAGAAAATGAACTAGTAGCTAATTCCTGTATTCCTCACAGTAGGGAACCAACAGGCAATGCTCCCCTAAAAAATTAAGTGTCAAGAATATTATATAAAGGTATAGATATAAATGTAACTATTGGAATAAAGAGAAAACTTCCCAAGTATTAAAAGTTGATATATATACACATTAAATAAGGCAGGCAACATAGACTCTGTATGTGTGCAATGAAACAAGATGACACATCTGAGGCTGAAAATAAAGACGAAAATGTGAATCGACTAAATTATAAAAAGTTCAGATTAGCTAATAAAGCAAAACCCAATGATGCGTGCAAGATAGATACACACACACACACAGGGCTGGAAGGAGGAGAATGACCTAGAAAGATTAACATAATAAGATAAACACAGCTGTGGACAAATACAAATTAAAAGAAGTGAGATTTCACACATACCCAATAAGAGAATCCAGCCCAAAAGAGATACAAAGAACACTTCATAATGCTAAAAGAGAATTCATAATGAAGATGTAACAGTTGTGGAACTTCCATTTCTAGAAATCTAACCCAAAGACACCAAGGTCAAATATATATATTTGACCTTTTGAATAATGTGGGGATTAAGGGCACCAATCCCCCAAGCAGTTGAAAATTTACATATAACTTTTGATACCCCCCAAACTTACCTACAGTCAGTCCTTGGTATATGCAGGGGATTGGTTGCAGGACTCCTGTGGATAATAAAATCCACTGATGCTCAAGTCCCTAATATAAAATGGCATAGAGCAATGCATATGGTCAACCCTCAGCTTCTGCTGATTCCCAACCACAAATGGAAAATACCATGTTTGATCCCCAGTTGGCTTAATCTTCAGATGCAAAACCCACATGGATATGGAGGGCCAACAGTATTTATTGAAAAAAAAATCCACATATAAATGGACCCATGCAGTTCAAACTTGAGTTGGTCAACTATATTTACATTTCTCCAGAGAATGAGTTGTCGTTATTTATTTCCATTGAGGTACATATTAATCAAAGCTCTCAAAAGATTACAAGGGAAAACCCAATGTTAAAGGCAAATTTTCATTCATAAAGTACTGTGATAACACATTACCATTAATAATGTGCATATTTTTTCCTGTTTGTGCTTACGTATTTTCTAATGAAAATACAACTATTCAACACAGTATATTCTGTATTTCTTGCATTGGAGGCATGACTGTTATAGAGATCATATGAACACTTTTAAATAACAGACGAACAGCGTAGGACCTCATAATATTAACCCTAAGAGTTGCCTATACTTACCTCTTTTAACCTTTTTCGCCCTATTTTCCCGTTCTTTCTTACTTTTGATAAGCTGTTGATACTTTGTGAGCATCCCAACACTTTCCCCCATTATCATCATAATCTCATGCCCTTTTGAGGTTCTAAAATATAGAAAAGTATTATTTTCCTTAAGAACAGCATGGAAAATGTTATTTTTGGAGGTACAAGAAAAAAATGAACTTGAAGGGAGGCAAAAATATTCTCAAAATATTTTTAAAGGTTTGGAATAACATTGAAAATTTAATAATGAAATTATAATATGTAGTTTTCTCAAGCTATTAACAGTATATCACAGGTTTAGGAATCATTACCAGAAGATTTATCCTTTCAGTCTAATGCTCTTACCAGTAAGCAGAGTCATTAAATGAGCAAGCTCACATCACAGGAACATGACCAATGTCACGCTTCCATGTAACTGTCAAAGTTTTGCCAAAAGCCATTTTCTTATGTTTTTCCCTTTCTTTATAAATAAGCTAGGGTTGTAATAGTTGCATATCATTACTCAATTTTGAGAAAACTAATAAAAATTACCAACAATAAGATTTTTAATAATGTTTGCTTTTTGAAGGGTTTTTAAAAAGACAAAATCAACCACTCAGTTTATATATAAAATGTCAGGTTAGTAGGTAAAAATGCAAATGTTCAGTTACTTTTAACCATTTTTGTTTTCTTATCTATTTCCAATGATTTGTAATTATTTTCATAAGACCACTGACTGAAATTCTAGTTCAATAAAGAACTCAATTGAATTGAATAGGGAGAGAATTTTACATATACATATATAAAATGTAAAATTATCTTTAAAAACAAAGCTTATTAAAAAACAAAACAAAACACTTCTTAAAGGATTATGTTTGGAGGCTTCCTAAATTGTTTAAAAGATCAGTATGAAAAATTCTTGTAAACAGTTCTTACTGAGCCTGTGTCCTTTTAACTTAAAAAGGCTTTATATTATAATTGCTCTGTAAATATCAGAATTTTCTATAAATTGTGCTATGTACACAAAGAAGCTGACGAATGGCTTATCTTGTACTTATCAACTTGTTTATTTTTATGCCTCCAAAAAGCCATATTTTTTTACAAGAGCAGCTGCTACTTTGTAAATATTTTAATGGCTTCTGTTAAGTAGAGCTGTCATTTTTGCAAACAGTATTATAAAAGATTTTCATTCTTCCATGTGATTGCATATCTTGAAATGTGTTTTACCCTGAAAATCCTTTGGAGATTTTAGACTGGGAAGGATATCTCCTTAGAAGGCACAAAGCCAACAAAAGAATAGCTAGACTTAAAGAATAATGTATAAGATCACCAGGGAAATAGTGCCATTTATTTCAGAAGACAAATGTATAAAAGCAATAAGTTCTCTTAACTCACTTCTTTTTCTTTGGCCTAGTTGAAGAAATGGAACAGTGTTGGCTTTGAGCCAGACATACCAGATATGAACCTCGATTCTTTTGCTACTTCATAGAGATTATCGGACATTTGGTCCTGTCGAAATGTTCACTGAGACATTTGGTCCACACCAAAAGGTCCTTGATATTTGGTCCTGTCCAAAACCTCCATGGAGACATTTGGTCCACACTAAAAGGTCCTTGAAATCTGTCCCTGTTCATGCCAAATTGTCCTTGAGATTTGGCACTGTCAAAAATGTCAACACTTAGAAAACATCCCTGGGTTCAAATAGTCCATAACATTTATTTATGCTTTTGGTTAATAAAATTAATACATTAAAAATACTATCATGGCCCTGGCCAGTTAGCTCAATTGGTTGGACTATCCTCCCAATAGCCAAGGTTGTGGGTTCCATCCCCGGTCAGGGCACATACATACAGTAGATTATCATTTAGCCTTAAAAAAGGAAGGAAATCCAGTCTCATGGTAAAACATGGATGAACTATAAAGACATTATGCTAGGTAAAACATGCCAGTCACATAATAATGTATGATAACACTTACATGGGATATCTTAGTCAGATTTATAGAAATGGCATCTAAAATGGTAGTTACCAGGGGGTGGGGGGGGGGAGAAATGGGGAGTTGTTTAATGAATATACACTGTCAGTTGTATAAGATGAAAAATTCTGAAGATCTGTTGCACAATAATGTGAATATACTTAACCCTACTAAACTACACACTTAACGTTTAGCATGGTAAAAATTAAGTTACGTGTTTTTTATAATTAAAAATTTTTAACTAAAAAACACACACAGCCCGGCAGAGCGTGGCTCAGTGGTTGAGCATCTACCTGTGACCCAGAAGATCATGGTTTGATTCCCAGTCAAGGCACATGTCCGGGTTGCGGGCTTGATCCCCAGCCAGGGTTGTGCAGGAGGCAGCCCATCCATGATGAATCTCTCATCATTGATGTTTGTATTTCTCCCTCTCCCTCCTCCTTCCCTCTCTCTGGAATCAATAAAGATTTTAAAAAAACAAAAAAACAAACAAAAAAACCCACACACACAAACACACATTGTGATCCTTAGAGTTTTGGCTTTTAATAAGGTTATTGTTCTTACAAGTATATATTTTTCACAACTTCATTGTATTTTCTCTGTACATCTGTATGATATGGGAAAGCAAACACTCTATACACATTAAAATTCTAATTAAGAGTAAGTATTGGAAAAGATATTTTCCTTTCTGTTTTGTTTTCAAATTGTGTGCTACATGTGACAAAGTCAAATACTTCACTTCTTACAATTTTCCAATTTAATAAAATATTCCAGTAACAGAAACAAATATAATATTTAACTAATAAAATGCTGGTTAAAAACACTATGAATAGGCAAGTTGTAATGAATTTTTAAAATGTGAACTCAAAAACATACATTATTCAGTTATCAGAAACCCCTGGTTGAGTTAAGTGTAAGAATGTCAAAAGTAATAGGGGCTGTGACTACAGGATTTCCACTGTGCACTACACAGTAAATTGACAATTTTTTTTAAATTTAATTGAAGCATATAAAAGCTTTCCTGAATCATACTCATAAGGAAGTTAGCAGAAATTGTATTTGTACTTGATTCAAATCTTATCATTTTTTAACAGAACTCCTGGGGCCTTTGGACAGAGGGGATATGCTAAATGAAGCATTTCTTGGCCTATCTTTAACACCTCAAGGAGAAGACACATTTCCAGATAACCTCCTTCCCTTTTGTTCAAGCCATAGACATATTATTCAACAAAGAACACTGAATGTCTCTTCTAACAGGTAAGATGTATTGAACTAAGAAAATTGCTACATAAAGGAAAAGTATTTAGTATTAAACAATGTAAATATTCCTTGTTTAAATGCAAACTAATAATAGTTAAGCAACGATATTTCAAAATGTCAAAGAAAAAATGTGCATTTTGTTATGTCTAAGACTTTGCAGTATTTGGTCATGCAAGAGCAGGAAAGCAGGAGACTGAATTGAATATAAACAAAATAGTTAGAATTAATGTTATTCAAGGCCAAAATAAAATTACTATAACATATGGAATTGTTTGTATTGTTAAATTTTAGAAATGTTAGATTAGAATAAAACATTAATTTTTTGTATATTTAGTTTGAATTACAATTTATATGTTATACTTATGCAAACTAACAATTCGTTTTTGAAATCTGATGATAATTTAATATCTACTCAGCTTGCTGCACTGGGTTTAGAAAATAAACATAAGGATAAATGTGAAATTAAAAATAACATAATAGTGTTATTTATAATGAAGATTATAATGTTAATTATGATGATGATAATACTCTGAAGCAAAGGTCAGCAAACTTTTTGTATAAAAGGCCATATATTATGCTTTGTGGGCCATACAGGCACAACTACTTGTAGCAGCCACAAAAAATATATAAATGAATGAGAGTGGCTATTACAGTAAAAGTTTATTTACAAAACAGGAAGCGGGCAGGATTTCTAGCTTGGTCTGTAGTTTACATACCTGCCCTTAAAGATCCCAACTTTATGCAGTAACTGTGAAGAGACCACATTTTTCATATATATCATATGTATATGAATATGTGATACATATCATATGAAATACATGATATATGGCAGTCTGTGATGTTCTAGGAGACTGCTCCCATCCTCCCCCCCCCCCC